ATAGCTTTGAAGGATTTGTATCTAGGAATTGCTCTGAGCTGAATCAACGTATTTTCAAAATACTGAACATTTCTGAAAATACCGTAAATAGAATATTTAAATCTATATATTACACAGGGTGTTACATATAAGTACGTACAAAATTTGTTTTGAAAAGCCTGTACTTTCTCAGCCCTACAAGTCCGAAAGTATTAGTCTTACGTATAAAAAGGCATGAAACTATCTTTGTAGTAAATTTTGTTAGCTTTGTTTTACCTCTAGAACTTTTCATTACGAGTAACAGGTACTGAAATACAAGCCAAACACTAAAAAAAACCTCCCACGAGCTCACCCCCATCACCCCGCCCTATGGACTTTATATTTTCTTGAAACTAAGACAGTAAGGACCAACTGTACCAATTCTGAAAACTCCGAGATTTTTTCCTTCGATTGGCCTTTAATTGTGTAAATTTTACTGGGAAAATTGATACCTATTGATTGTTTATTTTATTATTTTTTTAGTTTAAGTACATATTTCACAGATCATGGAAATTAAAAGATGCGTATGAGGTGTTTAATTTGCCCCTTTTGTGGTCCTAAAATGTTGCCAAAGCCTCCCTAGTCAACAATTCTTACGTTTGAAAAGAAACTTCCCACGGATATAGGAGGAAGAAACATAAATAGTAATAATTCCAGCCCTGCAAGTCGAAAAATGGGATTATAGGGCGCTTGAGGATTAAAGCAAGCAACTTTGTCCAATTGTATGATAATGGACAAAAACAAACATTTTTAGAAGGGGGCCAGGTGACTCCCTCTGGCAGGGGAGGGTGAGCCACCCCTAAAGGTGCATTTTCTTAATTTTTGGCATTTTTACATTTGACAAAAAGATGTTCAGCAAAAAGGAAGTATATTACAAGGAATTTTGATGGTAACTTTTTGCATGTTTTTAGCCAAACATTTCTGTCGTCGTTTCTCTTTTGGATGAACATTTTTTTGAGTAATTTGAGTTTTGGTGAAATCAAATCATTCTCAAAAGCGTTTGTTTGTCGAATATAAAAATATTCATCACTCAGGTTCTGTTTTACTGGTTAGATCGCGATAGAACAAAATTTAGTGCACGTAATCGGCAGAGAATTTTATGCTCTACACAAAAAATTTTAGTGAAAGGGTGGTACACTGCCGGAGGGGGAGAGGGCTCTCCTTCTGAAAATGTTTTGGTCCAATGCATCATTGTGCAAGGTGGCTTGCTTTAATACATCAAACGCCCTATAAATTTATCTAGGAGGCTAGGGCTAAAATGAAGAGGTGTCGGATGAAGAACTTCTACCTGTTGTCAAGAGTTGAAAATAAATCCCATTTTAAAGGCCCAAGTATTAGACAGATTGGAAAGCTTACAAGCATGTCTAGTTGACATGATTTCTCAACATTAAAGACCCAATTGATTGTGGGAAGTTTTTCCGTAAGATTAAACCCGTTTTTGATTCAGCAACCTATGCTTATCGCTCGTTCGGAAGTAAACTGGAAATTAAAGGCTCAGGAAACGAGGCATATCGAAGAATAGCAACCATTTTTAATCCAAAGGGACGAATGCTTTGGTACTTCTGTTGAAAATGATTGAAATGTTTGACAACATGAAATCTGATGTTAAAGAGAATTAGAAAGAGGAAGCGTTTCTTATCGAGCCGATACGCATTGCGTAACTATTATCAAGCAACTTACAGAATAAATTGCGTAGACGACGTCATGTAAACCGACAGCACGTCAAATAAAATCTTGATTGATTGGAAAGTGTCGATACGTACCAAAATTTGTCATCGGTATGGCTTTCATTTCCTGCACAAATTAAAGAGCACTTTCGATTCTGCTGAGTGGAACCGTATAGCTTAAATTATATTCGACGCGTTTACACTGAGATTATTTCCTTCTAATTTAAATGCGAGACAATTACAAAGGTAAGAACTTTTATTATTAGTACAATGTAATTCGTGTTGTGCACTTGCCCGCCCCTTTCTGAAATGAACAAGGTGTAATTCTCATTCCATTAGAAATTGATGGTTTAGTTAGAATTACCCGTATCCCAAAAACCATTTTCCTGTCGTAGTAAAGAGAGGATTTTAAAGGAAACATGAAGTCTTCTGGACGTTTTATTAAAAAAAAAGTCTACCACGAACAATGGGTTTCAACCACTGCTACGGCTATTCCATTACATAACGAAACAACATCGAAAGGAAGGAAGGCTTTTGTTCTTTCAAACTAAATAAAACAAAGAGTTATTCCCAAATGTACAGCACTATAGAACTGCAATGTATAAGAGATTAATTTAGCTGTAGTTTGGCAGTAATTAAAATCTCCCTCCACTAAAGTGTCTCGCTTAGTGCTCTGTGCGTTTGACAGGTCCCCCCGGGAAGATTTAAAAATCGGTATTGTGTTATCAAAGGCAGATATTTACGAGGAAAATGGAAAATTGAACTTTTTCCGCCGATGCTTTGTTCTTTTCAGTATAATTTCGGATTCAGTCTCCTGGGGGGTATACCATAACCAAACCGACTATTGTACTACTCGATGCATGAGATTTCAATCTCGCCTTAGTGCTCTCTACGCGCATTTACCACGAAACTTAATGTGGTTGTCTTACTTTTGTATTTCTATTACTCTGATCTTATATCATCTCTGTATACTTTCGGCAAATTGAATTAAATGTAACAGAAGTTATATAATACCTACAATTCTGGCCTTTTGAGAACTTTTTTATGATTAAAAATCCCAGAAGTTCTGACAAGATTTATGGAGCATCGCGTTATCTACTTTGCTTAAAACTTTCGATGGGATATCCAAAATAATTAGGTACAGATGAGATCTTTTCGCATTTAACGTCAAACCCCAAAGGTTATTGTCTTATTTATCCTATACACCCACTCTTGCCCTTTATCTTTAATTAAACATAAGTTTTACCAGATTTAAGTTTCATATAACGTACATTCCGGGTTTGACCTTTTGTGTGGATGTTGCTAATGTTGTTATTCTTTCTTAGTACCTACACTTGGAAGATTATGGATTTTTCTGATAATAATGATAAAGAAAATCTTTTAGAGAACTACTGATTGATATTCAATTTCAGAAATAGTCCGATTTTCTGCAGAAGAAAGCGATAGCGACCTGGAGAATGTGGAAATCTAAGCGATTATCGATACTATTACTAAAAAATCATTAAACCCTGAAAGAAGCCGTAAAAATGTTAAAGCTTTCTCTAGCGATATCTATACGTATAATGATATTAAATTCCATAGGTTTCAAATATCTCATGTTCTTTATTGCTGAAAATGTGGGTTTATTAAGTTTTATGAACATTTTCTTTTGTTACTTTCTCTTAACGATATTCTTTATGCCGAAATTTAGACACTATTAGAATACTCGAAAGGACGTTTATGTGTGATTATGACCTGAACTGCTTGAGAAGTGCTTGCCTGAATGTGAACATATACAACCACTTTCATTCAAGATACCGGAAGGTATACTTTTTGTAAAGAAAGTATCACCTTCAGCTTTCCATGTTTTATTTTAATACGAGGTTCATCTTTCTAACATGCAGCATATTCCGTTGTAATAAACGTGTTTTATACAGGGTGATATGGGAATACTTTAGGGTCGATTCTGCATAAAGAATTAATAATAATTGGCATAAGAAAACTATCAATTAGTGAATATTTCGCAGAATCGCTTGAGTTATTACGATGATATTTAGTATTTAGTGACATTTATTTATAAGCGCACTTTTTCCAACAAGATAAAGTGCAAATTACTAATACTAATACTGAGGGATGCCATTTTCAAGCACTTTGTAGCTCTGAACAGTTCCTACACGTACTTGAGACCACCGATCGAATAAAAATTCTATAAAACGTCGTAAGTTCCCTCTAAACCCCCGAACTGTGCAAATAATGCCATATCGCATGCTATCATAGGGAATGTAATAATTGATCGATGTAGAATTTTTTTCAACGTTTGAAGGTGCAAAAAAATAAAGCAGGTTTCATTTGATAAAATCAACTTTTTAAGGTTTGAAGTTTTTAAAATTGACCGTTAGTTTTAAACATTCTGTAAAATAAATATTTAAATCATTCTCATGTAGGATCAAGTCAGTATTATTGATTTTGGAAGATTTTTTGAAATTCAGGTCAGAGGAGTCATAGGTACAGGGCGCTAAAGAAAAACAGTCAAACGATTTTGAAAAATCTTGAATAACTGGAAAAGCTTTGATCCTGGATAGCGTAGAGAGAATTTGATATTAAACGACGTAGATTTCCATGTACCTAGATTTCGAAAATAATAAAGCAAGAAAGTTGCTACCCACATCCGGCAAAACCGGAAGTGAAACGATCATGATAATATTTTCCTTCGATATAATATAAAAACTATGTTAGTATGCAAATTTTCCAATTTAAAATCTTAATGGGAGTCTGAATAGTTTTAGGTAACTGCGTGAATCACTCAGTATCCCGCAAATTTTTTGTATTGCGCGTTCGCATTTAACCAGCAGAGTGTGGACCTTCACAATTCACACAATTTTTGGGTTCTTCACAAGGTGAATCATGCATAGATTTTCCACAACCGCATCTTTTCTCAACCTTGCATTTTTCAGCAACATGTCAAATAGTATTGAAACTATAAAAAGCTGTTGGTAAATTTGAGGTGTTGAATATAAGTGCGAGACTTTTTTGGTTTTCAGCCATCTAACCTGTGTTATTACAATATGCCTCATTTCTTCCAGTACTTCCTCTATTGTACACTTTAAGAAGCTCTTAAAATATATAATAACCTTTGATGTATTTAGTTGACCATGTGGTTCAACTGTAACTCCTATTCCTGATAATGTAGATTTAATCAGTAATCAGTCTGTGTTTCTATTTTAGTGTGTACTAATAATCCACCTTTATCTTTTCTAATTAACCTAGTTTCTCCAATTAAACCGCACATTGAGTTCGTAATTAAAAATTGATGCATTTTATCAAAATTGTACATACCGTCTTCGGTACACTTTCCCAGGAACCGAGGAATTGATTCCGCCGTCTTCACGCCAGTGGTTGCATCGGGCTTGGTGGTACAAAAACGATCACCATCCATTCTCTCAGCGGACCGGTCATCCGAACGGTTCCGTTGGGGTCGGATCCAAGCCCCTTGCCGACCGTAGAATTTGTTTTTCGTACTATCTGTAAACAAAAAAGGAACATTTTAAAGCGACCGCCTGCTGCGTAGGGTGTATAATCAGAGGGTTATCACCAACGGCGTCCTACCGGACCACTATTAAATTCATAATCGTGCCGAGGCATCCGAACGAATACAGAGCATAATATACCTACATCACAGAGAACGCAGGGTCATACGCCCCATCGACGCGGTTAACACCTTCGGATTTTGGGAAAAAACGAACATCAAGGAAAGGGGTATTCTGGACGGTACGATGCGGAAGTGGTCCTGGGTAGGTAGGATCCGAATTGGAACTCTCCAATTGCTCGGGTCCGTGGGGCCGCAACACCCCAAAGTTTGGAAAACCAAACCCCCTGCGGGGTTTTATATTATATTATATTATATTATATTATATATGAAAGATTCTCCCCTAAGCTCCAAAATGTTGAATGAAATGAGTTTGTAGATCTTCTCAAGGAAGCAATTACAAAAACCATTAAAATATTTCAGTCTTCACCCTTATTTTAACTCTGAAGAACAGAAAACTGATGCTATATTCAATGACACTTTGACTACTACAAGAGAAAATGTTAACCAACGAAGTAAGAAGAGTGAATCTCCGCATCCACAATATTCACTACCGGAAAATGTCCTAAGGTCTTTGGATTGGCCATACCAAGCATGGTAACCTTCAAGATAAATTTGACTCCGTGGAAACATTCACCCTTCATGGAAAATTCATTTAATTACAAGCGAACTTATTAGTTTTTTCCCGGTAATCTCCGGTATATTCGACCCAGGAAGGTTAGGCCCAGATGTATTCGCCTAAAAGACCTTTCCAAGGAATATTCACAAGATAAAGTCCGAGCATGAAGGATTTCCGTAGGAAAATTCGCCACCATACAACGTTAACTTTAAAAGTAATGTCGAACCATTGACTTTGAATGTTACAGTTTAAAACTCAAAGGTAAAACCTGAAATCCACCAAAATTTGAAGCTTACCGTTGATATTAGGATAGAATCAAATCGATGTTTGAGCATTAAATATTGCATTTCTGGAATTACTAGGAGCTTGTCTTGGGGTCTGCAACTTGAAGTTTAAAAATGAAAGACTTGTAGTCTTTCGTTCGAAGTTTTAGAAGGCTGGAAGCTTAAATTCTAAGTCACTGAAGGTCATCGTGCTTGTTGTCTAAGCTCACGCAAGGTCATAGTTGTCTAAACGCACTAAATGTCATCGTGGTTGTTGTCAAAACTTACTAGGGTTCTTGCCTGAACTAACGGCACTGAAGGTCATCGGGGTTGTTGTCTAAACTAAAAACACACGGAAGGTCCCGCGATTCCTCAATTAAATCGATTTTATTGATTATGATTTCGGAGACTGAGATATTGATTATCGGTCATTCTTGAGATCTACGCCTAGGTTATCGTTGAGTGGAGGCAAATTACGTTTTTTGATTGGTTATCAATGGAATCGATTTCGGGGGATGCACATGGTCAGTAAAGAAATGTCAAAGGGGAAATCCTGCCTTCCTGTTGGTTGACTCCTAGCTCACTTTGCAATTCCCATATATGCGCATTGGTGGTCAGCTGTTCGCTCTAGGAAAAAGATTAGATTAGGTGCAAGTAAATGCAGATTAAAAGACTCCCTCTCAATGATGTCCCTGGAGACCCTGGACATCATAGTTTACTATCGGCTTTAGTGTTTGCCGTCTAATAGGAAACGTGGAAAGAACTATTCAAAGTGACATCCAGTATCTAGCTTCCTTACTTGAAAAATAAGAATGAACGACAGAGCTTTAACAGGTACATCATATCGAAAATATGGGAAAATGAAGGAGACAGAAACGAATATCGTTTGCAAAAGATGCATAAAGTTAAATAACTGCTTATCGAAGGAGGATTTGATGGAATATTCAAATTGAAATGGTAGGTATCCATTTAAATCTTTTTCTATCGCATCGAATTTGAGCGAAATTTAGTTGGTATAAAGCCTTGTGTGCCGGTGACTTGTATAATTAAAATCCTTCTTTTAAACATTATAAAACTTAAAAACTGTTTTATCAAAGCTGTTGGTGTGACATGTTTAATTTTCAAGAGGAAAATTTTTACGTAGCCTAAAAATGGCGTGGAACTTTATCAAAGGCGAGAATAAAGTTTTATTTCTCCTTGGGACCAATAAATGGAAATAAAATGGAAGGATATTTAATTACTTGTGGTTGAACAATTTGCCTTAGATGGTTTCGCAATTAGACTTTATTCAAAATTCCGCCGTGTTCGTTTATTAACAACTTCGTAGCTTATGTTCTTGTGTCCCTTTTCGACTATTTGTCACCACTAATTGCTCTTACAGTGTACTTTCACAAGCCCTTCTCAATCCTTTCGGAGATTGTGATATTTATTTCTGAACAATCTAACGTGAAATATATGTCGTGCGTATTGTATGGACGTTGCGTTCAACCCCTTGGGGTTAGTATAAAAATTTCATGCCCGAATTTCTCTTCGGTGGCATATAAAAAAAATTTGTAACCGCTACAAAGGGATAGTTATAGCTATTATCATAATGGCAATGGCTACAAATTTCAATTTACTTCGAGTAATCAAAGAGAATGTGCAATTTTGTAATGGCCAGCTTTAACACTTGTAACGCAGTCATAACGGTCCTTTTTAAGCGAAAAAATTAGGTGCATAACGTACAGGGTGTTTCATTGAGACTGACAATGTCTCAAATGTCAAATATTTTCTTAACGAGTTCCCGTAATTTTTCAGCACTTCCGAGGACGAACTGCCGAATGAAGTTATTCCAAAATCTATTGCACAATAGAAATTTTTAAACTAAAACAATAGTTTGTTAATTAGCTTCAACCAAACACTCGAATCTTGTTTTCTGGTTGTTGGAATTCCAAAAGCAACTCTAAAGTTTTATTAATCTTTTGGGGGTTTTAGGAGATTTATCGTCCACAAATGTACTGATTAGCTTTTTTTCTGGTAGGTAGGGGATGAAATATCGTCGGGGCAAATGGATATCTTTGGGTTCTGATCTGGGACAAGGAACAGTACCGAACATATTAAGGAATCATCTGTCACTCTTTTTTTTATCAAGCGGAACTTTTACAGACAGAGTTCAATACAGTATTTCCTGGAGCAATCCTGCAAGAAGTATCACAAAAACTGCAGTATGCTAAATTTGTCTTCTTTGCAAACATCTTCAGTCGTGAAGTATAGCGGTTTTCAGCTTATGCCTAACTCACTGTATCAAAACATTCTTCAGTCGTTTTGATTCTGTTAAAATAACATTAGACACTAAACTTATGTTAGGATTTCAAACTTTCTTAACAACACCGTTTTCAATAAAACATAATTAGACGTCGTCTCGTATAAAAACACCCCAATCAGGGCCGTGCGGTTTAATTTTTCAATATGATGCCGCCTTAAGACCTAAAAAAACATTTAAACATTTTTATAATTTCATTTTTAAAATAAAAGCAAATGTACTAAGAACAACAAACAACTACACCTTGGCCCTTCTTATTTTAACTTCCAAATCCTTCAATGATGGACGTGTAGTCTAGAGAGGCAGTTCGTGACGATTCAATAATGTCAGATGTCTAAATTTTGATTGGCTTAATGGATTTCTTAGGTAATTTTTAAATAATTTAAGTATAGAAAAACTTCTTTCGGGTCTTAGGGTGTTTTGACACAAATCATTTAAAAAGCGTAAATCACTCATTCAGCGAATTATCCAAATCAAAAATCCAAAATACAATTGAATATATGAATATGAATTATACGGGGTGAAAATTTTGTCTGGAACATTGAATGTTTTTTAAAGAGGATTTTTATGGTATCCAAAATTTTAAAAAAATTTGCTATCAATCTACGTATCTTAATTTGTGGTTCTGCATTGTCAATGGACTATGGAGGCATATTATTTTTAAATAGCAGTCACTAGTTTTTATTAGATTTTCATAAAGATACGCCTCGGTAGCCGCACACCGATATAAATAATTTTTAAGCATGTGGGTTTACTTGAAATCTTTGACGCAATGAACTTCCGGTTCTACTGGATGTCGATAGCAGTTTTCTTATTTTAAATAAAACACCCTACATTTTATTATATTTTCGAAATCTACATAAAAATCTACGTCGTTTGATAGGTACCATATTTCCGTATAACCAGCATCAAAGGTTTTCAAGTTATTCAAGATTTTTCAAAATTCAAAAATCGACAGCACTGACGATTCTACGTGACAATGATTTAAATTTTGATCGCCCTTCTACAGGGTGTTTTAAAACTAATGGTCAAAGTTATTAATTTCAAACCTTAAAAAGTTGATTTTTTCAAATTATACATGCTTTATTTTTGTGCAATTTCAAATGTCGAAAAAAATTCTACATCAATCTAGTATTACATTCCGTATACCTATCTGTTATGGTTTCCGTTTTATTTTAGATTTTTAAAAGTGTGACCCTAAATATCAACTTATTTCCTGGCCAATGATAAACACTAAACAAAACTCGCACCCCAACTAAAAAATCTTTGAAAAATGACACACAAGTTTATAAATACCCAGAGATGCCCTCCAGCAGACTTATATACAGGATATGTTAGTACTTATCGTTGTTTTCCCGTTTGGTCGCCGATGATCACAGCTCTGCTACCCAAATGCAATATTAGCTTTTTAGTGGAATTTTTCGAAGGAACAAAACTCCCCCTATTTGATGGTTTTGCCCGCCTGTCCCTTATCTAATTCGGAAACGAAAAGAGACAGCGATGTCCAACCTTCGCCAATAGATTTCTACGCGTTTAGGGATCACTGAATCAGTGCTATTGGATCTGAGCCGGGTTAAAAGTATGGTTTCCGAACACGAGCTGAGTGACAAACAATTCCCCTACTAAAAATCGTACCTTCATCAAAAAAGTCCGCGCTCTCAGCCATTTCAGTTAGAATTAAAAACATACGCCTTTTTTATTTGTAGATATCTGTAATGGCTATTATTAACGTAGGTAAACTCTGCT